TCACTGCATTTAATTTTGTATAATGAGCATGAGCATGATGGATATAAACCTTATATGGATATAAGGTTTAAAACTTAAAATGGAAAGACTGGTGCAATGGCTTATACAGGTGAGGAGAAACTGAGTATTTCTTCAGCAACACAATGACAATGAAGGATTTTTTTCTAAGTATATATTATTTAGTTTGCAGTACAGTAACCTTCAAAGTTAGAAAAGGCAGTCAAAATCATTACATAGAAGAGAGAAACAAAATATTGTAAAATCCATAAATGTGCCCAATGATGCTTCTACCACTATAGAATTTAATTATCTGAAGTTACTAGTACAGTATAATAGTTAATAACAGTACTTATATTAAATAGTATATACCTCTCATTTTCTTTCGTTTTTACTTTTTTAGTGGATGTGTCATCATTTTTAATGTCATTCAAAAATCACTCAGATTGTTGTACTATTTTCTAACCAATACCACCTTTAATACAAAACTCATTTTCAAATATCACAAGAGAAGAATAAACCATTGTTACTGCAAACTTTAGTGTCTCCAATTAGCACTGCTTTCTCCTTCAACACCCTGAAATAAGGTAAGTCACAGCTGAAAGAACTTGTAAGCCAAGTTTTTTTTAAATGTAGGTGTAAAGATATCATTCATGTGTAATCAAGAGACAAACCTTATTTCAGTATTAATGTACTATATTTTCAAAATCAATATTTCTTTTCACTTAAAGCACAATGCAATGATTTTTGCTATATTAACTATATCAGTTAAAATGTGACATTTTGATATGCACGATTAACTATCTTAACTCTATTCACAGTTACAAACCAAATCTTAAATACAATTGCCTTTCTTTTAAATCTATGAAAGATAACAAACATGAGGTTTTGACTTTTCTTGTTGCTTCTATTAAAAATAATTCAAAGTGATGCCATTTTAACAATTGGGGACTAAATATTGAGAACAAAAGGTAACCTACCATTATTACTAACAGTGTCTATTAACTAGCCACATATGTACTGGAATATATAACCAAAGGGCCTTTGTTTTCATCTTTCAAAAAATCAAAAGTTGTTACTTGACCATATGCTGTGGTGCTCAATAAATTTCTCAAATTCCTTTGTCTTCCTAAAGATTTTCTTTTACATTTCCAGCATTGTATTTCAATTTAGTAAACAATGGTAGGTTCACCAAAAATTTTCTCCACCAAATTGTCATGGTTTATGTCTGTGGCCCCCAGGCATCATGTATTTGCATTGTGCATTTGTGATTGGTTCATTGTCTAGATCTTGGATTGGGGGTGTCAGTGCTACACCCACACAGGGTTAGAGCCTGGATGTGATGTAATGACAGAAAGAAGACATGTCTTGCTCTCTTTTGCTGGTTTCTGCCTTACTGTGTGCAGCTGCCATGCACTGCAGCCCCACCATGCCAACCTGCCTTGGAGCCAACTGAGTATGGACTGAAACCTCCAAAACTGTAAGAAATAAATCTTTCCTTTCCCAACTTTGGGCATCAAGTGTTTTGCCTCAGCGACAAGTAAAAAGTAACTATAACACAAATTTTCACCACATCTTACCTATTTGTAATCTTGAGCATAGATTTTTTTTAAAATGTTGTTAAATTTGACCTCTATCCCTTAATCCAAGAAGGCTATGGTCTAAATATCTATTATAAATAAAAACTAATTTTGGATTGGAAAAGTTTTGCATTGCTTTTCCTAAAAAAGACTTTTTTTAAGCAATTAAAATCACAAAGATTCCTATATACCCCTTTGGTTTCTCATATTAGAGAAATAATGTGGTATTTGAACATGCATATCCAATTTATTTCACTTAAAAGTATGGTCTAAAAATGTATCCATTCACCTTGAAATATCTCAAATTTATCCTACTTTATGGTACAGTTGTAATACGGACCAAAATGATAGCTATTGGGAAACAGGAAGAAAATGTTCAAATGGGAAGGAGAACAAAGGAACGGGAGGGTAAAATGGAGGAATAGAAAAGAAAGAAAGAATACAAAAAAAAAATTCAAAAAAACCTTTGTAAATAAAAGAGAAGAAAAGAGGTTGAAGGGAAAGGACAGGACTGGGGAAAATTAATCTAAAAAATAAAATCAAATCACAAAGATATGCTGTCCGCAACCTAATCTCTCAAACAAATGTTATGTAACAAATATATAACAAAAAATAAAGTAAAATAAAATATTAAGCTATCAAAAAGAAAATAATAACCATATAGAGTTATGAAAAGGATTAACTGATTTATTTCATCATCTCTACACACTGAAATAAGATACTAGGAAATACTGTCATCCTATTTGACGAAGGAGGACACTGCAGAGCAATGATCACTACCTATGATCACAATATAAACTAATATGAAACAGATATTCGTAAATTCTTAGTTTTCAAAGACTTGACTTTGGGAAAAGTCAGTGTGCCACCTGTTAATATGTTGCATCAAGATAATAAAGTATGAAATTGGTGTTTTATTTTCCTGAAAAAAAAATGTTATTGTGAAAAATTCAGGCTAGTACACAGAGACACCAAAGGAAAGAAGAGTTAGTTCATTCATAAATTACTATTCCTATGACATTAATCTGTGAAGGAACTTTTATATATTTTGGTAAGCCAGTCAAAAAGGAACAGGTTACCAAAATTCAAGATTTTCTACTATTACCAATCCACTTCTGAAAGTGCTACCTGGACAAAATGTGTACAAATACCAGAGCAGCCTAAGATTTTAGAGTGTGAACCAGCAGGAAACATCACAGAGCAATGTAAGCCAAAAGGGCCAGACTGCTATGAGAACGATTCTAAGAGGCATTTTCACTTGCCCATATCAGCACTAATCATGGAGATGAAGCCAGAGTCCCTTCTGACCTTTTAGTATGGTTATGTCTGACATCCTATTGAGAGGAGCCCTTTCCTGAGAAAAGTAGAGCACTCTGGCTCATTTTTTTGGTCACAGAGCAATGAAATACATATGAGATTTCATGAAATACAGACTTTTAGTATTAAGAGTAAATTAACCCTTATATAGAATAAACTTTACCTAAAAGATTCTGCTGTGTTAGGAGAGTTACAGGGAATTTGATCACTTGAGTTCTGTAACTTCCCTGACTGATGTCAGGCTCTGTTTCCTTCTAGAGCTATTTGTCTAACATAATCTTAATATATTTTTGTTTTAAATCCCTCCCTCAGTTTGCATATTTTCTATGAGGAATTTAAATGGATGGACTACAATAGGGTACTATAGTTATTCCATTCATAATGTGCTTTCCAAAGATAAGAACTATGAAAAATGGCTAACATTTCAAAGGGTAGTAATAAAAAGTAATAACTTCCTGAGAAGTGTAGCGCTCAAGTGAGTATTGCTGTTTATTGAGGAGATTTTGAACAAAAATGCCTTCATTTCCCGTTTTTAAAGATATCTAGTCTAGTATTTCACAGAAATGTTTAGGCTTGGTACCGAGATACAGTATCAAAGCATCTGACAAACTATCACAAGAAATCTACAGAGACACACAAGTGAATGAACAGAGTAAAGGGTCCATAATATCCTAGAGGTTTTATTCATTTATAATTGAAATGACATATATAGATGACCTCATAAATTAAACCAAGAAATTCAAATTGAAGTAAGACTTTACTTCCAGTAATTGTACCTCAGGTTTTTTTGTTTGTTTGTTTTTGTTTGTTTGTTTTCAGTATTGGGGACTAAACTGAGGCCTCGTACATGCTAAGCACACAGTCAAACCAGGAGTTACTTCCCCCAACCTCTACATAAACCTTTTTCGTGCTCTTTTTCTGTGTGCATGAAGTAATTCAGAATCAAAGTGCAGACATTAAGAAAGATTGATACTGTTTGACACTATCCATTAAAATAGATATATTTTTGATATAGCAATTCTACTCCTTTACCAACTATATATATATTATGTACATTGTGGCACAATTTTTAATAATCAGAAACTGAAATGAACTCTAATGTACATTAACGGTAGAAAGGTTAAAGAATTTATGTTATGTACACCAAAGCAGAAAGATAATGATAATAAAAGTGAATGTGTGTGAATCTTGAAATGTTCTTAAATAAAAGAAAATATTAAGTTGGGTATGGTGGTGTACACCTACAGTCCCAGCATTTGGGAGGCTGGGACAGAAGGAGTACCTGCTCAAGGCCAGCCTGAACTACACAGTGAATTCAAGGCCAACTTGAGCTACATAGCAAGACCATGTCTCAAAAAACAAAACAAAACCAACTGACTAAAACAAAACAAAACAAACAAAAAACATCAAATAATGAATATAGTGGCATTACAGTTTTACAAACTTCAAAGCAGGAAAAAAATCTACAATATAAATGAGGCTCATACTGCTTTTAGGAAGAGGATGGTAAGTAATAACAATAAACGGACACATGGAAGTTTATGTGGTCATGGTAATTATGACTCTGGCATTAGTTGCATAAGTATTTTGCATAATAAACAGCTTGTAATACCTCCAAAATGAAGAATAAATAAGCTCTGGCCTTAACACAGCTTGATTTAGAAAGCAGACTTAGAAAAAGATCACAATTAATCTATATAAGAAATTATGGAAAACTTATAATTTGTCTTCAAAAGGGAATGGCATGGTGACACAAATTGCAAATATCTTTAAATGCAGAGTTGGCTGGCAAAAGAGTAAACTGGATTAACTATCCAAGACAAAACTCAGCACAATGAGGAAAAGAAAGGTATCAATACTCAAATTTTGCTTCGATATTATTCTTCTGGCAACAATAACAACAAAAACCCCAATGATGAAATATATTTTGCCTCAGTAACAAAGACAATCCCAAACACTGCAATGGTTAAAACAAAGAGACAAAAGACCACTCAGAAGGAGTAAATGGAGACATTTCCTACAGAGAACAGAAATGTGTGATAACTAGACAGGGCCTTCACATGTGATGGATGTAGTCAATGTAGAACTACAATAAAAGCTTCTTACCCTTAATCGCGTAGTAGAGATCTCGGCTTTTAAGATATCAGGATCATACTTAGTACTGGATGAAGATCCTGAGAATACTTTTCAAAGAGAAAAAAAATTTATTTTAATTATTTTACAGTTGTATAACTAGTTTTAAACTTAGAATTCACTGGCTCTATAAGCATGATTCATATTGTTCTATGGATATTACTTTCTATTTTAATTTCTTTGTTGTCAGACTCCTAAGTCTAAAAGTAATTTTCAAAACTCTAACTTTTTTTAAATATTCAGGAAAAAGGAATCTCACAAATTTCTTCTTTTACATATACTATGTTTTTAGAGAATTATCGTGCAGATATAGCTTCTTAGAACTTTGCATTATACAAGAACTTATAATTTAGGCAGAACTTTCCAGTCCATCATAGTTGCTTCTTTAAAAGAAGCTATAGATTATCAAAGCATGAGACAAGGAAGAAATCAGTCAGCTCAAGTTGGAGTGGGGAGTGGCAGGCAACATGAACTATGTTTTAATAGTTCCAGTATCGGGGGCTGGGGATTTAGCTCACCGGCATAAGCGCCTGCCTTGCAAGCAGGCAGTCGTGAGTTTGATCCCTGGTACTGATAAAAAAAAAAACACAAAGAAAAAAAAATAGTTCCAGTATCTACCCACTAAAAATATTGTACAAGAGTATCAAAAAGGCCATATTACTTGGCTTGTTCTGAAAGGTAAAATTTAATTCATAAATGAACAAAAGGCAATCAGGCAGTGAAGTGACAAATACAGAAATGAGGTATGCATCATCTCCAAATACGGAGTTATGTTTTGTTGTCTTTTTCAGACAGTTTCAGACAGTTTCACTGTGCAGTTCAAGCTAGCCTTAAACTCACTTTGGAGCCCAGGTTGTTTTCAAACTCAAAGCAAATCTCCTGCCTCAGCCTCCCGAGTGCTGAGATTTCAGGTATGCACCACCACATCCAGCCTCAAATGGGGAGATTTTTATCTGGACTAGGGATGATGGGTTTAATGAGCAATGTGTAGGTTTCCTCACCTCTCACAGCTAAACTACACTGAAGTGTAAGTGGCCTCCTACTATCTAAAATTCCATCTGTACTTTTAGAATCTCAAAAAATACACTATACTTACGGCTTGTGCGAGAACTTGACTTTTCCTTATAGGCATCATTTAATCGTTCATATTCATCTAGGGCCAAAGCCAGTCTTTGCTCCTTCACATGGTACAGCTCCTTCTGGGTCCTGAGTGCATCCTGAGCCACTGAGAGATAGTCCTTGAGCATTTTCTCCTGTTCCCCTCGCCATTGTTTTCTTGGGTCTTCTATCTGCGTGGTTTCTGAAAATACATTAGGTTGGTTTGGTTTTGTTTTAGCTTTGAATTGTGTTTTAAGGATCATTTAAACTTAAGTGACTAGCTAGCTTAAACTCTTGCATCCTCCAAAGTTTATTAGCATTTCTAGAGTGACTTCTCTATATATTCAATACAATTTCTGTTTTACTTTACTTACTATATTCCCCTTCATTTTCAAGTCCCTGTCAACCATGTGTGCTCATGATACATCCATTATACAGGTGCTGCCAATCAGACCATCCTTTTGAGAATTTCCCGACTCCCCAATGCCTGTAGAATAAAAGCCAAGCTACTTATCCCAGCATTCAAGGCCCTATGTACTCCGAACTGAACCTTTCCTCTTATGATTCATACTTTCTTTACTTATAGCAGAACACTTACTATGCTGCCTTCTATATCACTACTACTTCAAGTCTGATGTGCAGACTACTACCAGCCCTTAAACTCAGTTTAACACCAGTGACAACAAACATGGAAACAAGAGCAAACATTTTAACATCTTAATAGCAATTGTATTCAGATATTGTACATCTGTTAAATATAACAACAATGAGGCTTGTACTTTATGTGTTTCTCATTTTTATAGTAATTCATTTTCATTGTATTTTATCAAAATAGCAGTCAGTTCATGGTATATTAGAAATTTTAAGCAAACAAAAAACCAAAACAAACCACTATCAACAAAACATCTGTTCTGTAGAGGACGATGAAGATGGCTCTTTGTCTCTAGTTTGGCTAAAACTGGCCCCATTTCTGCATACTGACATGTACAGAGCTGGCTAAGATATTTTTTTTAACTCCTCAACTGGCTTAAACCATTCAAATGGGTCTAGCTGAGGTACTGACATGTAGCCTTCAAAGCCATGGACAGGTCAGTGATGCCCCACCATAGCCCAAGTAGTATACGTGAGCTAGGCCAAGTGATGCTGCTGAGACTGAGGCTTGAGAAAGAATATATGAAGTCTCAAGGCATGAAGGGTAGACATCAAATCTGAAGCACCAACCCCAAAACATAAGATACTTCCTCAATCTGTGATATGAAGATTACTCTCTGTATCTCTCTTTCTGTCTCTCTCTGTCTGTCTCTCTATCTCTGACTCTGACTCTGTCTCTGTCTCTGTCTCTCTCTCTCTGTATTTTGTAGAGGTGCTATCAGGCCCTCTGCCTAGCCCAGTTCACAGCACTCACATACTTCCTGCGTTTCTCACAGTCACTCATCTAGAGCCACTCCCCACTTCACAAATAAAATCTGTGGCTTTTGGTCAGGTGAGCCATTGTTCTAACTTAACTTAGGACCTCCTTGGTTCCCTACATCCATCTACAGATGTGTTTGTTTCTTTATTCTCACTGTGGACTGCGCTGGAAGTGGTAGGCTGGAATTACTTATTGGAATTTCAGTAACTTTTCCATGGCCTTACAATGATAAACTCCACCCTACTCAAGAGGTCAGCAGATAGGGAATTCTATACTGGTCTTGGTTTAAGGAGAATGCTTGTCTAGCATACACTTCTGCACATCCAAATCACCTAAAGACCCTGCAAACATTGCCAGAATAAGTTACTAGTGGTGGCAAACACATGTCGTTCCAGCACTGTGGGAGTCTGAGGCACAAGGATAGCAAGCTGAAGCCCAGGCAGGGTGACTCTGCAAGACCCTGTCTCAAGTAAAAAAAATAAAATAGGGCTAGAGATGTAGTTCAGTGCAAATGTCCCAAGTTCAATCCCCAGTATGAGAAAAACAAACAAACAAACAAACAAACACCCCAAAACAATTAGAATCTCTGTAAGTGAAACCAGGCTCTGCTACTTTTAAATGCTCCTTAAATGTCTCCAGTGAACAGCCAAATCTGAGAACCACTTCACACCCAAGCTCACACACTCCATCTCTCTGAAGCCTCTCCAGTTGCCTCAGCTGTGAGCCCGCCCTTTGCAGTTCTCCACAGCAGTTTACGTGAGTTTTAAAACTCATTCTTCACTGTGTGGTAAAGCCATAGTACAAACCACCAAGCACAAAGAAAAACAAAAATGGAAATGGAATGATACAGATTACGCTAGCCATTTTATTTTATATTAGACAGGTATATTTGTTTGTTACATGATGGGATGAGGAGCTCGGGTGTATCCCTGTCTGGCACTAGGGCACAATGGTGCTCACAAGGGAACAAGCAGTGTTTGTGAATGTACAAGAAGGCTGGTGCGGGCTGGCTACCGGACCTCCCCTACGCCTGTGTCCTAGACTCTGCTTTAAAAGACTGGCTCCTGGTGGTGGGAAGATCTCATAAAGGAGGTTTCTTGGGTGTTAATTATTTTTTGTTTCCTTCACTTGTCACAATTACATTGTTATTCCCTTTAAAACTATTTGTTCGATTTATGTATTTTATACAATGTACTTTTCCATATGTTGTATTAATACAAATATTTTAAAGTAAGTGTGATAAAAGGAGTAAAAGCCATAATGTTAATGACTTAAAAATTTGTCCCTAGCACAAGACTATGCCTGAGCATCCCCCCAAAACACCAAATACAGACAGAAGATAAATTTGCAACAAATAGAAAGATACCTTTAATACAGAAAATACATGAACCTTAACAGAATAAAAATTTAATTTTTAAAAAAGTCTTGATGATGGCCATGATGCAGTAACAGGGTCACTATCAGTAACTAGAAAATAGAATAAAATGTATGAAAAAATGGCTTTCATATGTTTGACTACACGCAATTCCAGGACTACATCTCTGAAAGAAAGGAAATGAGCTCTCAGATTACCCTATATTTTTGTTGAAAGTAGTGTTTGAACAGTAGTTCAAAGAAAGGACTAATCCAAGCAGAGAAATGAAGCCTTGCTAAAGGGAGGGAAGAAACAGATTTCAGGAAGGGCATGATAGGTAGAATCTGTGAAGCAAAGTACAGAGAAAGCACCCGACACTAGAGAAGTTCTACAAGCCTACAAAGAGGTATTAAGTCAGTAGGGTAATACTAAGACGAGCGGGGGCTGGGGGTGCGCGAGTGGGTACAGGTTAGATGAAGGATGACTGGAACTCTGCAAGTAGAAATTCCTCTATCTTCACACAAGGCTGTACCAGGTTCCAATTATGCCTAGTCAGAGAGGAGAAGCCACCATACACATGTGTGAAATTCAATGAGGACGGCTGTAGTGTTACACCTTAATAACGGTGCCAAACAAGACCCTCAGGAAAGTCTATTCTGAACCTATCAAAAGGCTACTCCAATCTATCAGAGCTTTAAGACAGGCTGCCAAAGGACTGAGTAACTTAACTGCCTGTCAGAAAAGTTACTAGATGTGACAAAAATGCAAAGATAAGACTCACAGTCAGTAGAAAGATCAATCAATAGAAACAGATGTGGAAATGTAGAGATAATGAAAAAAGCATGATCTGGATAAAATAGTTATTACAGAACTGAAGAGCCCAGAAATAAACCTGCAATACTGGGGGAATATTGTCAATTGTAGCAAATGTTCAAGCAGGTAATTCACAAAAGAATATATGCCATTGTCCACGAAGCAGATAAAAACATCAACATCACTGATTATTAGGAAAATGACAAGTTTAAAACTATGGAATGATACCACTGTATGCTACCTAAAATGACTAAAATTTAAGAATGTCTGAAAGGAAAGAGAAACTGAGATGGGAAAAAGGAGAAAAGGAAGGAAAAAGGAAAAATAAATATATATACACACATATATTATACACACATAAAGATAATTATTAGATATTAGTTATTAGTTCACTGTAAAGAAAGGTGTGTGCCTGTATTGTTTGATCAGTTTTTCATGCCCACAGCTTGTAATAGTAGCAATTACTTTGAAAATAATGATGCACAATATAATAACCACTCTTACCCTCCTACAATCTTACTTTGAAATTCTGCACCACTGTTTTTAGTTTTCCTTTAAAGTAAAAAAAACAAAAAACAAAAAACAAGAAAACTTGAATGTCAAGTTTTAGAGGGAATATGCAGCAATGATAATTCTTGTTCACAGCTACTGGGAATGTAAAATAGCCTAAACACTTTGGAAAACAATTTAGCCATTATCATACAACCCAATAATTCAGAAACTTGGCATCACCCATAAGTGCTTAACTTCTCAACTTCATAGATTCATTGTAGGGGTCTTTGGTTATCCCGAAATTTAGTAATTACATCAATTTTCAATATTTACATACAGAAATGTAATGACTCAAGGTACAGCTTGCTTACTTCCCTACACTCTCTCCCTGTGTCCTTTCCTCCCTCCCAGTCTTTTCTGGTTCAGTGAAGCCAGATGCCATGTTGCACACTGCCCTGTTCAGAAGCTCACATGGCAAAGAATGAAGGAGCCTGTAAGGAAATGAATATTGCCAATAACCACATGAGTGAGAGAGCTTGGCAGGAGATCCTTCTCCAGTCAAGCCCAGAAATCACTGCAGCCAGCTGACCCTTGATTACAGGTCTGTGAGACACTAGTGAGCCACAGAACCCAGCTAAGCTTTGCCTGGATTAATGGCCACAGAAATCGTAAGATAATAAATATTATTTTAAGCCACTGAGGTTTGAGTAAATTTGTTATGCTGAGATATATAATTGATAAGCAAATCAAATAAACAGTACACATTGGAATGTATATAAAAACTTAAAATGTCTTTAAATTATGAAAGTTATAGTAAGTATGTACTCAGTTTGCTCTTAGAGGTTTTGGCTAATCACATTTCCCCCTATATTGGGGAAAAGGGCTACAAAACACTGACACTTAAATGAATAAAGTACACTAATAGTAATGATAATAAACCATCAGCATTTTGTGCAATAATAGTTAATTATCAATGCTTGTTTTGGATAGGTCAGCAGAAACACTCTAGTAAACTGCTTTAAATATTGTATGCTATAAGAACTCAGCAGGAAACATTTATATTTCTAAAATATTGCACAATTCAAATATGAACTACAAAAGAGGGTTCCCAAAGGTACCTTTGAAGAAGGCT